CACTTTTTTATCAAGTGCACATGGTACAGTTTCCAGAATCAATCATATACTAGGAACCAAAGCAAGTCTCAACAAATTAAGGAACACTGAAATAATACAAAGTATCTTCTCAGATCACAATGCCATAAAAGTAGAAAGTAACCACAAGAAGGTAAAACTTACAAAATTCCATGTGGAAGCTAAAAAACTCTCTGCTAGAACATAATTGAGTTATGAAAAAAAAAAAAGAATGAAATATAAGAGTTCCATGAAACAAATGAAAATAAAAATACAACATACCAAAGCCTCTAGGATGCAGCTAAGGCAGTCCTCAGGGTCAGTTCTTAACAAGAGGCACACACATAAAAAAAAAAGGAAAAAAGAAACAAAATCAATGATCAAACTCAATACCATCAAATATAATCTAATCCTACAGCATCAAGAAGAAATGAAAGGGTCAATAAAATTGACAAACCACTGATAAAAGTTGATAAAAAAACCAGAAGACACAAATAACTCAATTAAGAAATGAGAGGTGACATCACAACAGAAAAAGACAAAATATTTAATATTAAAAATCTAGGAAAAGCTATACTCTTGATAAATTTGAAAACCTAGAAGAAACGGACAAATTCCTTGACACGCACGTCCCACACAGACTGACATGGACAGATGTTGAACACTGGAACAGATTCATCACAAAATAACCGAAAAGGTCATAAAAAGACTTCTCCACAAGAAAAGTCCTACAGTGCATCTAAATTCCAAAATCAATCTCCACAACAGTCTACGTGTTTCCTATTGCCAAAGAGGCCCTTCAGAGTAGTGAGAGCAGATCTTCACCCTGAAACCTACAGCGTCCCTTTTCAGCAGGAAGTAGCTAAGAGAGTATACCGTCCCCGTTTCCTTATGAATCAGGGTGAAGTCTCTCAGGGAGGAGTGATAGGGAATGGCAAAGAATACACTGACAAAGGAGATTAATCAGAACTGGCTTTGACAAGCACTGTGGCAATGGGACAATTAGTCTTTCAAGGGGGGGAAAAAAGAGGAACGAACGGGTGGGGGGGCTAGAGAAAATAGTGCAACAATGAATGAATGGAAATCCAATATCTCTGTAAATGTTCATTAAAATTAATAAAATTTAATAATTTAATAAAAATTTAAAAAAAGAAGAAAGAAAGAAAAGTCCTGGACCAGATGGCTTCACAGCTGAATTCTACAAAACATTCAGGGAGGAGCTATCACCAATTCTACTTAAAGTATATAAAAAATAGGAAAAGAGGAATACTCCCATAGTCATTCTATGAAACCCTACTACCAAAACCAGGCAAAGATATTACCAAGAAAGAAAACTACAGACCATTATCTCTTATGAATGGAGATGCAAAAATTCTTAACAGAATTCTAGCCAACAGAATCCATTTCATCTAGTGTCTTCAACTCATGTGCTGTCCCTTCCCTCTCCCAAGCATGACGTCCCTCTCCAAGAACTGGTCCCTCCTTGCAACATGTCTAAAGTATATCAGAAGAAGCTTTGGAGTCCTTGACTCCAAGGAGCAGCCCTGTCTCACCCTCTCTAGGATGAACCTGTTTGTTCTCCTATCTGTCCATGGTATATTCAATACTCTTGTCCAGTACAACAGCTCAAAGGCATCGATTCTCCTTCTATCACCCCTAGTCATTGTCCAGATTTCTGACACATAGCAAGTTATTACAAAGACTATGGCTTGGATTAGGCACACCTTAGTCTCCAGACTGACATTGTTGCTCTTCAGTACTCTGGAGAGGTCTCTGACAGCAGATTTTCCCAATGCAATGTATCTTTTACTTTTCTGGCTGCTGGTATGAAGAGTGATTGTGGAGCCAAGCAAACTGAAGCTATTAAAAATCTCAATCTCTTTATTGTCTATCATGATGCTTTATTGTCTATCACGAATTGGCCCAGTGGTGAGAATCTTTGCTTTATTGATATTGAGCTTCAATTCATATAGAAGGCTGCAAGTCCTTGACCTTCTGCAGCAAGAAATTCAAGTCCTACTCAGTTTCAGCAATGTGAAAAGAGCTGGAGTGAGAAAATCAAAGGGAACGAACTCACTCGGTATTTCTTAAGGTGAAGGAACTACAGAACCAATTCAAACCTCAAGTTGTATTATTTAAGGATGCTTTGGGCAGAATATTAAATGACCCAGGAAGCATTAAAAGAAGATGGAAAGAGTAATTGTACCAAAAGGAATTGGCAGATAAAGAAGAATTTCATGAACAATGTATGAGCAAGAAGAATTGATGGCATATCAACTGACATATTTCAACAAAGAGATAATGCCCTGGATGTGCTCATCAAAGTTGTGCCAAGAAATCTGGAGGACAACCATCTGGCCCACTGACTGGAAGAGATCTGTATTTGTTCCCATTTCAAAGAAAGGCCATCTGACAGAGTGTGGAAATTATCAATCATTGATATCATATGTAACCAAGATTCTGCTGAAGATTACTCATAAACGATGAGAAGAACACATCAACAGAGAACCATCTGAAGTGAAGGCTGGGTTTAGAAGAGGCTGTGGTACTAGGGATATTATAGCTTATGTCAGATGGATCTTGGCTGAAAGCAGGGAGTACTAGAGGAATGCCTGTCTGTGTTTCATTGACTAAGCAATGGCATTTGACTGTGTGGATCACAACAAACTGTGAGTGACTCTGAGAAGAATGGAATCTCAGAACACTTGATTGTGCTTATGCAAAACCTATACTTGGACCAGGAGGCAGTCATCAGAACAGAGTAAGAAAACACTGCATGATTCAAAATTGGGAAGGGTGTATGCCAGAGATGTGTCCTATCTCCATACCTTTTCAATCTATATGTAGAACTGATTATCCAGGAGGTTGGGTTCTATGGGGAGAAATGTGGCATCAGAATAAAAGACCTAAAAAACAATGGAAAAATGTTCTCTGCTCATGGACAGAAAGACTCAATATTGTGAAAATGACAATCCTACCAAAAGCAATCTGCATGTTCAATGCAATCCCAATACAGATAACAAATTCATTTTTCAAGGAGATCTAAAGGGAAACTGTCAAGTTTATTTGGAGAGGAAAGAGACCTCAAATAAGCAAAGCACTTCTGAAAAACAGAAATGAAGTTGGAGGCATAGCACACCCTGACCTCAAAACCAGTGGTAGTAACCAAAAACAGCATGGTACTGATACAATAACAGGCACATAGAACAATGGAAAAAAACTGAAAACCCAGAAATGGACCCAGCTATCTATGGTCAAATGATATTCGACAAGCAAATAAAACCTGTAAAACGGATAAAAGACAACCTCTTCAACAAATGTGGTTGGCAAAACTGCACTGCTACCTGTAAAAGCCAGGATAGGATCTACATCTCAAACCATACACAAAAATAAACTCAAAGTAGATCAGAGACCTAGCAGTAAAGCCCAAAACCAAAAAGGTCATCAGAGACAAACTGAAAACAAGCTTAGAAGTCTTAGCCAATTAAAGAGACTGAAAAATACAGCCCAAAATGCAAAATTTTGAGAGGATAAAATTGATGAATGGGACTTTCTAAAGATTAAATTTCTTTGCTAATTAATAACTTTTCCTACTAGGGTGAAAAGAAAGCCTACCGACTGGAAACAAACATTTGGCAATACCATTTCAGACAAAGGTATCATATAAAAAGTTTACAGAATCCTACAGGGCCTCCAGAAGAAAAAGACTGATGTCACAATTACAAAATGGGCAAAAAACATGAAAAGAATTTTCAGAGGAAGATATTTAGATGGCCAACAAAGACACAAAGAAATGCTCCAAATCACTGGCAATAAGAAAGATGCAAATGAAAAACACAATGAGATACCATCTCCACTCCAGTAGCAGTGGCAAAGATTAACAGGGCAGCAAGTAATAAATGCTGGAGAGAATGTGAAGAGATAGGAACTCTTATACATTGTTGGTGGGATTGTAAAATGGTACAACCACTCTGGAAGACAGTTTGGCGTTTCTTCAGAAAGTTGAACAGAGAAATTCCATATGATCTGGCTATTCCACTGGTTGGAATATACCATGAGAGAATAAGAACTGAGGCACAAATGGAGACTTAGATCAAAGAG